AATTGCATCAACCTAACTCCACACCATGTTTTAATCCCAACATACGTAAATATATAAAATATTAGGATATATATAACTATATATATATATATATATATAAATCTTACCGCGCCGTGTCGTACACATATGCCCGTCCAGCCTTGTATTGCGCATATGACGTTGAAATGTTCTGTTGGATTTGACCGAAGTAGTTCAACGGCTTTCCAAACGCAGTGCGTTCCTACCAATATAAACCCGAACATTAGAATTCATAATATTAACAATATAATCTATTTGAGAAATCATACTTTTTTGAAGTAGTAACTCAAAAGCCCGTTCGTTGACAAAATAGTAATAACAAAAACAAATCTTTTCACAAATAATAAATCACTATCTTCTCAGTTGAAACAGTAAAATCACTAAAAATCTAAAATACACTGGAAACGAATAATTCAAAATCCTGTTCGTTCACTCAGTTAAAATAATAATATAATAAATATGATGGATACATATTGTGCTTTCGAGTGAAATTTCATTGTGTTGTGGCGTGGTTTCTCGTTGGAACTTATATCGATTTGATTGGCTACCTCAGATGAGCTCAAACTTATTAGCCAATCAAAACCTTCTCAATGAAATTCAACCAATCAGATCTATTGTGGATCAGTTTGGCGCGATTCGATTGCACCCTCCCCAAATTTGTATCAAATCGACAAAAAAACTCACAATTCTTTGACTCTTCGTAATAAATAACCGAAGATGTGCTTGATAAATTGTAAATCACAAACCTGTTTGTTTAAACCTAATAATCATAATAATACTAAAATATGGTTGAAAAACTACTCCTGTCCGTTGACCCATCGTATTCGCCCACAACCTTTTCCGTATGAAGAGCGATTCATCGGCTGATATAGTGTCGTAAATAGGACCTACCTTGGCATAAGCATTCATAACTTCAATCGACCGCCGCGCAATCCCCAAACTCATCGCCGCCAAGGTCACACGTTCGATTTCCAAGTTGCGCATCATGCACAGCACGGCCGATCCTTCTTTGCCAATCTACGTGTACAGTAATCATCCCATGAGTCAAAGTGGTTTTTGCGTTTCGAATATTTATCTATCTAGTAGTAAATTTTACCAAGTTTTCCGCCGGAACTCTGCAGTTTTCAAACACGAGTTCGGCCGTCATACTCGCCCGCATGCCGCACTTGTCCTTGATGCGCTGGCCCAGTGAAAACCCCTCAAAGCCCTTTTCTACTATGAAACTGGAGAAGTCCTCGCGCGCGTTGCCGCTGTTTCCCGTGCGCGCATACACAAGAAATGTGTCGCCCAAGTCGGTGTCGTTGATGGCGCCGTTGGTGATCCACATCTTGGTCCCGTTCAAAATGTACTCGTCGCCGCGCTTGACGGCGGTCGTCTTCATGCCGAGGACGTCCGTGCCGACAGCCGGCTCGCTCATAGCCATGCCGCAGATGGCTTCGCCAGACGACGCGGCGGGAAGGTACCTATGAGAAAGATATGTGAAAAATGATAGTGATTTCAAAATGGTTGAATCGACGAAAGTAGCCAATGAAAGGTTCGAAAAAAAGACCTTTTCGACCAATCAAATTGCAGGTGGATGTATCCGGTGTATTGCCAACATTCGACCAATCAAATTGTAGGCGTATCCGGTTTCACAAAGAGTTCAACATTATTGATTTGATATACAAATTTGGGGAGGGGGTGCAATCGAATCGCGCCGACCAAACCGATCCACAATCGATCTGATTGGTTGTTGAATTTCATTGAGTAGGTTTTGATTGGCTAATAATTTTGAGCTCATCTGAGGTAGCCAATCAAATCGATTTAAATTTCAACGAGAAACCACAACACAACGAAATTTCACTCGAAAGCACAATAGTAGTCAAAATGGGTATATTTAGTTCCAAGTAAAATAACGTCTCACCGATTATTTCAGGTAGATTTACAGTCGAATCTACCGAAAATACCCAATTTACCACCCTTGAAAGCACAATGGCCGGGAAATAAAATAATCTATTCTCTAGCCAATCACAGACAAGCCATGTCACCAATGGACCAATCAGAGCGTTCGTTGGGACCAATCAACGACAGGGAATAATCCAACGTACTTGGCGCATTGCGCGTCGTTGCCGTTGCGCGCCAAGTTGTTGGCAAACAGCATCGAGTGCGCAAGGAACGAGAGGCAGAATGCCGGGTCGGATGAACTCAACTCTTCGTGCGCGATGACCGCGGCCAGCGCGTCCATGCCGGAGCCGCCGTACTTTTCAGGCACCGTGATCCCCAACAGCCCCAACTCGCCCAGTTCACGGAACAGATCGACGTTGAACTTCTCGGCGCGGTTGAACTCGAGCGCTTGCGGCTCCACCTTTTGCGCCACGAACGATCGCAGCATTTCGCGCAGCGCTTGGTGCTCTTCCGTGGGCGAGTACAAATCCAACGGCGCCGTGGTGGAGAAGGCGGCGCGAGACGAGCTCAAAGCCTACAAAGAAGGAGTCATGTTAGGCCTGGCGCTGGTGGTGACAAGGAGATGCAGGTACGTGGCGGGAGATCGTAGCGGACCGGCGGGCGAGCGAAGTCAACATGGCGGCTAAGAATGGCAAATGAAGTCCAATTCGGTGCACTCTCCATTTGAATTTCACACTCACTCACTCTCATACCAATGCTAAATGCTCGTACAGGTAGTTGCTATGCCTTGATATGCAGCATGTTCGGCGGCATGCTGTCGTTGAATATGCAGGGCGGCATGCTGTCGTTGAATATGCAGGGGCGGCATATGGGAGGACGTGCTTAGCTCCAAGGCCATTCCATTACAATGTCAAGTTCGTTCATGAGAATGACCATGAGACAGTCACACTCTCTTCAATATGGTTACTGCATGCAACTTCAACCGCAATTCAACCCTGGACTCACAAAAAATAGTAAGATTGGCCTTTCAACCAACGAATATGGAATTCCAAATATATATAATCATAATATTGATAAGAATATTTTAGGCCAACATAGTACTAGTAGTAGTACTAATAGTACTCTGGAGTACAGTACTCTTCGTTGCCTTGCATACAGTACAGTATACGATTATCAAGTCTACATGTAGTACTATTAATAGTACTACTATAATAGTAGTACTACAGTAGTACTATATACATAGTATATCGGGTGTTTGGCTGGTGCAGTTCTATCGTCATTACGGCTTAATTTCTCACGACCTGATATACAAACTCAGCTGAGCCACTTCCAACGTACTAGTACGTACGCACCTACTACTACTATGCTACTACGTACCCTTCGTTGTACTGTACTACTACTAGTAGTACTACTGTATCTATCACCAAGCATGAGCAACAACCCAACCTAGTAACTATATATGTACGACCGCCACCACGTCTTGGGAAACCAAAAACACCATCTCTTTCTCCAGTGTCTGTTTATTGAGTTAGGCCCGCAAGTCTTGGTCGTGTTATGGGTCTCCCACCCCCGAGAACTCCTTTCCCGTGCTGTTCTTCTGGCGGACGCCAGCGCGCTGCTGCCTCAATCGGCGGCGCATGGTCGAGTAGAACCGGTTCTTGACCGCGTTGTCCGTGCGGCCAGGCAGCAGCCTCGCGATGTCGGCCCAGTGGTTGCCGATACGGTCCCGAGTCTTGAAGATCAAGTCGTCCTCCTCTTCAGTCCACGCCTCCTTGTTCACCGACGGACTCAGGTGGTTGACCCATCGCTCGCGGCACTGCTTGCCGCACCGACCTGGCAGCAGCAGCGAGATAGCGGACCAGTCGCTCGCTCCGGACGACTGCACGGCAACCGCGAGCTCCTGGTCTTCCAGCGCCGTCCACGGTCGTTTTCCCAGCTTGTTGTTTATCATGGTTAGCTTGGAGCGCTTGCGCCGCGGAGACTGCGACGCCGTCGAGTCGTTTTCGTCTTCATGGTCTTCGCCTTCTTGGTTGTCTTCGCGCTTGAGGATGCCGGCCTTGCCGTCGTCCACGAGGCCATGGCGGAGCTGGTGGAGCTGCTGGTGGAGCTGCTGCTGGTGTTGCTGGTTGGCCTGCAGTAGCACTGCAGAAACCACGGGGTCGTGGCCAAAGCGATGCTGAGCTTGCAACAGCGCCTGCTTGGACGGGCCTTTCGGCATCCCGCGCACGCGTTTCGAAGACGAGGGCTTCTTGGCAGGTCCGGGCGGAGAGAATCCCGTGGGGCTGGACGCGGTGGATGCGCCAGACGAGCCGTCGTCGTCGCTGTCTGGGTACCCGCCAGGAGTGGTGTAGCGCGGAGGATGAGGAAGGGGATGATGGAGGTGATCGTCGTGGGCGGGGGCGGCTGCAGATGTTTCCGCGAGCCCGAGCACGCGACACAGGTCCTGGCGCAACGACAGCACGCTGTTTTGGAGTTGCTGCATCTGTTCGTGGACCACGCTTTCGTTGCGGAGCAAGTGTTTGAGCGTGTCTTCTTGCTGCGCGACTTTGGCGCGAAGGAACTGCATTTCAAAGCCGTCGTTGGTTGTTTCGCTGCCTGGGGTGGTGGTGACGGTGGCGGTGGCGGTGGCTACGGGTGAGGGAACTACGACCGTCGCGGCGGCGGACGACGGCGTGGACGGTGATGATGCGAGTTGTGGTGGTGGTGGTGGCGGCGGCTGTTGTTGCTGACCATTCATCGGCGCGTTCTGATCGTCGTTGTTGTCGTGGGTGTTTGCTTCGACGATGTGGTTCATCTGACTCGCGAGGACTTCGATGGCGGCAGAGTTGTTCGTGTCCGTCGTGGACAGGAGCTTCTCGTTGTGACCAAACTCGTTCTGCAGCGCTTCCAACGCCGATCGCGCTTGATTCAACAGCTTGTTCTTGCGTACTTGGGTTTCTTCAGACGACATGGTGTGAGAGAAGCAGGTGGTCGACGGTGAAACTGCGAAGGCTACACAGACACGATGAGGACGACGGAGCGCATAGAGGAGGAAGGACCGATGGGCTGTCCTCGGTCCCTGGAGGGTACGTACGTGAAGGAGGATCGGGGGTTGGCGTGTGGGTGACTGGGGTGTGCTGACTCCGCCTGGTTGTTGCCTCTCCTTCGGCGGTTTCTTCCAGTTCCACGTCAAAAATGGGAAGGATGCTCGTGGTTCAGTTCGTTGGCGAAATCTTTTTTTAATCGTCCGTTTCAAGAGCATACTGAAACCTAATCATGACCCAATATTTAAAAGACGAGGGGAGTTACCAAGTAACGGTGGCTTTCGAGAGTGACGGCCATGTCGATTTTTAATTTATTTTCCAAAGGTTTTATTCAATATACAAATATCTAGTATACGATGACAAAGATGGTTCAGACGCTTGCATTTTAAAACCTTCAAACGTAACGCTGCCAACGGGAAATAACTGGTGCCGAATTCAACGGTTTGGAGCTGGCGCAGTTTATGATTGGCCCAATTTGCCGCACCACTTGATATCCACCAATCAAATCACTGGATAAGGGAATGGCAGTTAACGTGGACATCTGGTGACGTTTCAAAATCCCCCAACCGTTACACAATTGACAGGCAGTTAAGAATCTCGTTAGATCTTTAGTGGTCGAACGTGCGATCGTTACAGCCTTACTGTAGTTTTATTTAGCATCTCACTGTACAGTACCATTGATGAACCAACTACCCATACCACAAGAATGTATTCAATGTACTGGCGCGTTCGGTTAGCTGTACGGTGACCAGTTGGAGGTGCCACCCGGGGCTTGTCGGACAGATCGCCCGGATGCCGCTGTGCTTGGCACACTGCCGGTCATCATTCGATTGTTGTTCGCTTGAGGAGGCGGTTGGGAGAATTGAGCTGCACCGGTGTTCTGAAACACGTTGCTGGGTTGTTTTCCATAATTGTCGGGATACGCGCCTTGGCGTGTGTACCCCGTGGGCGGCGCCCCCCCTCTGTAGCTGTCTTGGTTATACGATGACGATGATGTGCGCGGAGGCTCCATCTGTTGATACGAGGAAGATTGCTGAGTCCGAGGGGGTAGCTGCTGTTGCTGGTGGGCTCCTTGGTGTCCATACTGCGCCGTGTCTGGATACATGGCTGTGCGAGGGGGTTGAAGTTGTTGCGGTAGTTGCTGGTACGACGATTGCTGGGTGCGGGGTGGCATTTGAAACTCTTGGCCACTGCCGCCGATGTTGACGTTGTGCAACAACTTGGACAGCGGCGATGGCGGGTTGTCGTACCCACCTCCAGCTGTGCTGGGCACAAAACTCGACCCGCTAGAGTACCCACCAGAAGAACCGCCTCCATTCTTCCGGGCCAGCCATTGGCGCCGTTTTCGTTCCCAGTTTTGGTCGCGCTTTGACGATGTCAACGGTGGTTGTGCTGCCTTTCCCCACCCCGATCCAGTCGTGGAAGGCCGCGAGTCTGCAATGAACTGGCCCGGGGGCTGGTTGCCCCCATACACCCCTCGTCCCCCGCTGGTGCTCGGCGGGGGTCCCCCACTGGGCGGTAGGTACGAATAGCCCGTAGGCGGGGGCCTTTGTTGCTGGAATTGCTGCTGGAGTTGCTGTTGGTTTTGATTGTTGTTGATGGGGTAAGCGGTAGAGCCGCGTTGAGTCGAGGGTGTGAAGACAGGTTTCTGTGGAATAAAGTCTGCGCGGGGTTGCTGCGCAGTTTGCGGGAGGCCCCCACAGTCGCGCAACTCGGCATCGGCCTCTGGTTCTGGAGGGGGGGCACTGGAGCCGAAGCCACCCGGTCCTAGGGACAACAGGCGCTCCGTGAGCATTCAAACGAACAAAATAGGGGTACCAAACGTGAGCTGGGATGCGCCACCAGGGGGACCGTGGACCCTTGTAGAACTTCGCTTGACATTCATTTGAGTAGACGTTAACGTCGACATGAAGCCCCAGTCGCTGTCGTCGCAGAAGATGTCGTCGCTGTGGAAGCGGCAGTGTTTGAAGTGGCTATTTTTGCATCTTTGGGGCATGAAAACTAATCTATTCATAGCCACGCCGTGATAATATACTTGCAGCAAGCGCTGGCTTCGTGCTTTCCAATCAACTCCTCTCTTCCGTACTGTAGACGATCGTGTCATATGGGTAGCCTATTTGATGTGGCGGACTCGGTGTTTCAAAGCAAGAACGCTACTTTCATCGACACTACCCCGTCAGCTGGCCCGCACTCGACTTACCACTCGGACGACATGCCCACGCTGTTCTTGCTCGATGAAACCCTCAAGCAAATTCAACACTCGCGGGCGAACAGTGCCCTGTGCTACAGCCACCACCCCGTTGTCACAGACTCCAAACCAGAGCCTTGGAAATACAAGTCCGAGACGACGGAGTTGCAGCCAAAGCACTCGGAACGGCTCCATCATGACCATCACAATCCCCTCCGACGGGTGTTTTCCGGTCTCTTGGCACCTTCGAACCAGCCCCCAGAGGTTACTAAAGACATATATTTATTTACATGCTCACTAGGTACATGTTTGGCATTGACATTTGATGTTAACACTGTTAGCAAGGCGATTCGTCACAGGAACCACCAAGCAAACTCCTGTTGCCGACTGTAGCTAGTATTCCAAGCAATCAAACCACAGTCGACACTTCACCTCCTTCCGTTCTGACGACGCACGAATCAGGTACGTTGACATGAAACTGGACTGGTGCTTATGTTTTTTATGGATATACACGTCGTAGATGCCACTGCACGGAATGTGCTAAAAGCGGTCGCCGACGATATCGAGGCCTTTGAACGACACCGATTTCGAGGTAACACATGACGACGCCTATAGCAACGACATGCCCAGAAACTGACATTAGCACTGTCCCTCCAATTAAATCTACCGGTAGACTCTACGATTGTACATCCGAAGCAGTTGGCAGACTACATTGACGCCAAGTACACCCGTGGCATCTTGGTACAAGTTGGAAGGAATATCCTAATATTCTTGTGTATATTTATTTCTCCCTTGGGGTGGCGATAATCCAGTCCTGTTTAGGGGTCGGTGGCGGCGTCGCCGTTTGTTATGTTGGCTCGGAAGAAGGTTGCGATGCGCGTTCAAGACTTGCGCCAACAAAAAGCATTGCCCCCCACTGTTCCTCTAGAGTCGTCCAATCAGTGTCCAGTGCAATCGCTGGCTGATTTCGGCGACGACATACGTGGCACTCTGAGCATGCTTGCTGTCCAAGGGCCGGAAAAGGGGCTGCCATCAAAGCCACCACCACCGTTTGTTGGACCCACCCCAGAACCTCCGCCAGAAGCCCGAACATCCTATCATCCACAACAACCAACGGCACAAGCGGCCATTCTCGCCAAACTCATGAAGCTTCCCCGCAGTCAGATGGACAAATTGCCCAAAGCCCACCGCGAACTCGTAGAGTTTTCAAAAAAGTATCACCAGGCACTGGACCTACCCCCCGACAAAGTTGCTGCCCTGCCGCCGCATCAGCAGAAAATGCTCCACGAGTTGCGCGCCAAAGCTCAGCAGGCCTCCCAATGATATATATCAATCTCCACCAACTTGTTTTGAATACTATTTACTGTTCATAAGCTAGCTTTGGACTTATTCAACGATACAAAAGACGCCACGGAGATATGCGAAAGTTGTATTGAGTATTAGTCGCCGCTCGCATCAGAATAAATGGCTTCAATCACGGCAGCATACTTGTCCACGACCATCCGACGCTTGAGTTTGAGCGTGGGGGTGAGCTCGCCGCCGCCCAAGCTGAAGTCCTGCTCCAGTACATAAGTCTTGGCGATGGTTTGGGCGCGTGACGTGGCGCGGCCGTTGGCCTTCTTGAGACCATGGGCGATGTACGCCTTGACCTTTTCGCACTCTTTGGCTTCAGCGGTAGTGGTCGCGACGGAGTTGAGTGAGGCCATGATTTCCAGCGCCTTCTTGTCCAATTTGGTCGTGGGCACGCCGTCACCGTCCACTTGCACGCGAAATGTGAGCAACGCCGCCAGAAACTTGCGCTTGTCGCCCACGACCATCACATTCGACAGCAACGGCAGTTCTTCTTTCAATGCGTCTTCGAGAAGCACGGGGGGGACGTTTTCCCCGCCCGCCGTGATGATCAATTCCTTGATTCGACCAGTAATGTACCCAAACTGGCTGTCGTCTACCTTGGCGCAGTCGCCAGTGTGCAGCCACCCATCCGAGTTGATCGTGGCGTTGGTCTCGTTTTCCATGCCCAAGTACCCCATCATGACATTCCGACCTCGCAGCAACAGCTCATGATTCGTGGCATCGACCATCCACTCTGTGCCAGGAATCAACTTGCCCACACTGCCAATCTTCCAATTGCCAGCAACACACGTCGATGACGGACCCGTGGACTCGCTCTGACCAAACAATTCAAAAATTTGAATGTCCAGGGATCCAAAGTACTGGATAATGTCTGAACTCATCGGCGCCGCTGCCTACCCAAAATCGTGCCAATCCTCATGAGTGCATCAAAACAACATAGGATAGATAACCACAGCGATTGAGTACCACAACGCACAACCGGCACTGATCCAGCCCCAACGCCGCCTTGATCTTGCCCAACACGATCGCGTTGGCGCAGCCGTAGCCACACGGTACGCCGCCCGCCTCACCGTATTGGGCCAGCTGCGTCTTTTGCGAGCCAATCCCTTTGGCCCACGTGGCAATGCGCAGTTTCATGCCTTTCGTGGTCTTGCCAATCTCCCACAATTTCTCTGCAATCTTCTCCCACACACGGGGTACGCCGAGGAATCGCGTGGGCCGCACCTCCTTTAGCGTCTGCCCTAGCGATCCTTTTAATGCATCCGGCTGTGCAAAGTACACTTTCGCGCCAGTCGCCATGGGCAAGTGGATGTCAATCAGCTGGGCTGCGACGTGGGATAGCGGCAAGTAGCTCACAAGGCGGTCCAAATGTGTGAATGGATCGTCGACAAACAGCTCGAGCATCGAGTGCAGCGTCCACGTGATGTTGTCGTGGGAGACCATCACGGCTTTGGGGTTGCCTGTTGTCCCGCTCGTGTAAATGAGGGTGCAGCAGTGCCCCGGCCGCTGCCCAGTCATCCGCGCCTCCAACTCTGCACCGTCGACCTCCATGCCAAGGGCCAAAAAGTCATCGAAACTGTAGCACGGCACCGGACATTGAAATCCGATCGGAACTGTCGCGTTGTACACGACCAGAGCCTTCAACTGCGGCAATTCCGCGGCCACGGACGCCATTTTCTCGAGCTGTCCGACGTTGTCACAGACTACGACCCGAGCTTGCGAATGACCAGCAATGTACTTGGCGGCGTCGGCGCTGTTGGTCGAGTAAATGCCGGCAGCGAGTCCCCCAGCGAGGATGCACCCGAGGTCCGCAATTGTCCATTCGGCCGAGTTGAACCCAATGATGCTCACTGCGTCAAACCGATCAAACCCGAGCGAGAGTAGACTCTTGGCAAACGCCATGCACTTTGCGTGGTATTGGTTCCACGTAAGGATTTTCCTACCAACACGTGCGTTGAGTTGGCTCCGATGTGGTAATCTCTACTAGTAGTACTAGTTACAATTAGTTACCATTCGCCGTCCTTTTTCGTGTACAACGCGCCGTCGTCACCGTGCTTTCGAACTGTTTCTTGAAACATGGCGACGACTGTCGTGGGTTGCTTTCCTGCCACGGAGCCGTCTGGGCCGCGACGAATCTTCACTTCCCCATCTCGTTTCCACGTCTACATGATGCAGTTGACGTCCATGTGAAATCGTAATACTGCATTGGCCACCATGGGGGAACGAGAACGTACCACGTACTCCGAGTCACGCATGGCAAACAACCAAACTAAAAATGGCAGCAACGTCGTAAAAGAATTGGGGCGACGACGGTTTATATATCGAACCTTTGATGGAACAAGTCACGTTTTGGGCGTTCTAACAGACGTGGAAAGTTAAGGGTGCTAACGTCAAGATGCATCGGTTTTACAACGGTTGCCACGACTAACGGTAGTACATTGTAGTACTAGATAACGTTAGAGATGAATCTGAGCAATCATTCTTGATAATTGCAATGATCAACAACATCGGGCTGTACACAAAGTTCAAACCCTACTCACCAAGGGCGGAATTCGCAGGTGTTTGGCGGGGGGGCGGCACTACCATTTGGGGCTACAAAGTGCTGTGTCAATGAATTGATTCGGTCAACTTAACTCAGAGACTTGTCCATTTCCAACGCCGTATATTGTACTCCAAACGTGGTGCTCAAACTGTGCGTGTCGTCGTCGGTGTGGAAAAACCTGCTGCGCACACCGTGAGGGGCTTTAAAACACAAGCTCAAGCAAACGAAATCCGTAACGCTTAATAGCGACGCCCATGTCCTACACTATTGCCCCGTTGCGTGGCAGGGGGGAGCCCTGGACGGATAACGGGACCCCCTGCATACGAAACATAAGCCTTCATGGAATCCTTTGGACTACGTCGTTGATCTCGCGATGGGTTGACCTATAGTAGTGAACGTGGCTCCCACTCGAAAAAGTCATGTGTTTGGGGAACTTGTATTACAGTATATGCATGGAGTTCGATCGCTATGGAAGGGTATTGTCCAACGTTAAATAGTCCATGGGGTGGAGGGGACATGTACTAAGTAGCGTTACACCGGAACATAAACAGCGTCACTTCACATCATTCGGAGGATGCATATCAAAACTTGTGAATGCTGTTGGCCGAGTAAATAATTACTACCATAACGTTAACAGATTGATTGGCCCATGAATGACAGGCTAATTTGAAATCGGAATTGCCGCCCAACGTGCATTTCCAAACATGCCCAACCTGTTGTGCGTCAAGGTTGGTGAGGGAGTCCTTTCTCCGTGACGATCGAACATTGCGAGACCGCCGGCGATCTCAAAGTCAAGATCCAGCAAACAACAAAGTTGGAGTTGAATGCGACATAGTTGCGACTGTACAGCGTCGACAACCTCATTTTGCAAGGCGACGATGCGCAGCTGTGGCACAAATGGATCTCTGTTGACATGCCACGAGCGTCCTTGGAATGCTTTGACAAAACCAAAATGCCTGTGATGTGGTCGATAGGAGAATAGTTCGATCCGTCCAAAGTGAACGTCCGGCATAATAATCACGTCTTGATGGAGTATCCCAATGAAAAGTCCGACGCAAGTAACACGAAGCGCTGGCCAGAACGCAATAAATTGAAGCTGTTTAGTCGGGTGAGCATCGCCAATTGCTTGTTGCATTCAAACGCATTCCAATTATAACGATGTTCGCCGTGTTGTGCGTCGTCGTGGGCGAGGATGGTCCTTTCCCGGTAAACACTGCAGCTCCAGCCACTGTGGGGGGTCTCAACCAGCTGATCAAGACAGACAACCACAGAACCATCACCTGCGACGCAAAGGATCTGCAGCTGTGCCGCGTGGAAGGGCTGATGCAAGATGACGACGAAACGCCTGGGCATGAAACGAGCATCCTTGGATGTTTTAAAGCGGCGGCAACGTCGTTGATATGGTTCAACACTGCCAATGTGGCCCCCACGGGAAAGATTCACATTTTGGTGGTCAATGGACTATGAACTGGGATTGTATGTGGTCCAATTATACCGGTACTTTGAAAAACGTTAAGTAACACAACACCTCTTGAGCTCACCTTGGCAATCATGTGAGAGTTTGGGCACACTACTGGACCAGGAATCGTCATGAGTGTACACATGTAGTAGTAGATGGTGATATACGTACTGTGCGGTAGGTTGTGTCGACCAAACGGGGTAGTACATTGACGATTTGGAGTAGTTTAGAAGGCCTGCAACTTCAATTCACCACCAATTGGCGCCAATTTTTTATTTACTAACTGTAAGTATTTTTCTTACTATTTTAATAGTAAGAAAAATACTATTAATATTATTAATGATATATTTACTAATTATACTTATTAATAGTAAGAAAAATACTATCAATATTATTAATATTATATTTAGAGATAATGAGGGGTTTACGAAATGTCTACGAAACCCTTATAATCTTATCTTTTTCTTGCAGCGATAAAGGTATTTGTATTTGCCACACACAAGAAAAATAGAAAAATACGAAAAATACTATTAATATTAACGTTTGCAATGCTACAATTCGTAGTAGTTGATAGGATATAGAACCAGCGTTTTATGGCCAATGAAATCCATCGAATCCACTTGGTCGAAACGTCACTTTGAAAAATCTTGGCAGCATGAATCGCAAGTTCAAATGGAAGGTAGACTCGGAGAAGCACGTGGTAGTGTGGAACTTTGAGCGGCGCGGGTGGCAGAAGACGGAAGGCAGCGACTGGAACATCTACTGGGCCAACAAGCAGAGCATCAAGAGCATGTTCAACCCAGAGAATGGCGTGCGACTGACGGACGGCCAGTACGTCAACCACTTTCCCAATCATTACGAGCTCACGCGCAAGGACCTCATGGTTAAGAACATCAAGAGGTACAAGTCACTAGTACTACTGCTACATTGAATATAACCCGTGTAGGTACAAGAAGGAAGCGGAAAAAGACCCGGCCCTCGTTGAAAAGCTCGATTTTATCCCGGTCACGTACACGTTGCCTGGCGATTACTCGCTCTTTGTCGAGGTAGCTCCAGTAGTTCGGCATAGTAGTAGTCATGTACAGCACAAGTTTCAAAGCAACAACGAAGATATGTCAATGGATATGGGTAGGAGTTCCGCCGCAACCCGAACGTGATGTGGATCATGAAGCCATGCTCGAAAGCGCAAGGCAAGGGCATCTTTATCATCAACAAACTATCGCAGATTAAAAAGTGGGCCAATGCCAAAGCCGTCGAAGGCTACGTCGTGTCGCGGTACATCGAAACGCCTTTGCTTATTGGCGGCAAAAAGTTCGACCTGCGCATGTACGTGCTCGTGACGTCGTATCGACCCCTACAGGTAATAAAAACACATAAACTATACATTCCATACTTCGCTCTATTTCCTCTGCAGTTGATAGATATGATTGTATTATAAACGATCGAATATGTATATATATATATATATATATATTTCCAAAAATAGACATATATTGCAACGATCGTAATATTATATCTACTTTTGGTAAATATATATATATATATACCAAAAGTAGATATAATATTACAAACGACCGAATATATATATATTTAAACGATATATATATATATATATTATATATATTCGATCGTTTGTAATACAAACATATAATAGGCGTCCTTCAGTTATTAAATACTTGGAAGTATATATATATATATATATCATACTGCGTAGTAACTGAAGGACGCCGCCATATTCCTGCAACAATCATTACATATATAGATAGCAGCACACATATGGCGAATTACCGTGACGTACGTACTTATATGTCTAGGCGTTTGTGTATTCGGAAGGGTTTGCACGGTTTTGCAACGTGAAGTATTCGTCCGACATTGACGACATTGACAACCCGTTCATGCACTTGACCAACGTGGCGGTGCAAAAGCACAACGAAGACTACAACAATAAGCACGGCGGCAAGTGGAATATTTATAATCTACGGCTGTACGTCGAAGCTACACGAGGACGGGTAACGAACAGTGCAAAACAGCATGTATACTCTAAGCAATACAATTGCTTATATATATTTCCGACCTGTTTTGAGCTCTTTACGTCTCTCTTTTATTGGTTTTTAGTTGGATGTATTTATTATATATACATGTATTGAGGACGGTCAAGTACTCGACAGTTTGTTGTCGATTGCGTAGTTGAAAACGGTTGAACGCGTTCGTATATAATATAAATAAATATATATATATATATGGTGGGCTTTTTCCGTGTTTTTTCGTTTTGGCTCGTTGGTGAAATATCTTTTTAAATATATTATTATTTTATACTACGTACTATATATATATTCAGGGAGCAGCGGACAAGATGCTCGCGGCGATCCACAACATCATGCTACATTCGTTGAAAGCCGTGCAAAATGTTATTATCAACGACGTGCACAGCTTTGAGTGCTACGGGTACGACATTATCATCGACAGCGACCTCAAGCCATGGTTGGTCGAGGTACAGTACTAGTAGAAACACACTCTAAAACCCATCCGAATCCATCCAAACCTGCAAGCTATATTTCTATGACACTTCCATATCGAAATATATGTTTTCCACGACGTGATATACATATGTAGATGAACGAAATAATTCTTTTTTAAATGACGTGATACAAATATATATTTAGATGACCGAAATCATATATTCATTTTTCCTCGACGTACTATATATATATATATTTAGGTGAACGCGTCGCCATCGTTGAGCACAACCACGATCGAAGACCGCAACATGAAGAGCCGGCTCTTGCGCGATGTGCTCGAGCTGGCGGTGGCCCATGATGCCGTGGACACGCGGCGGTTGTTCCACCCGCCAGAGCTGAGCGCCACCAACGGCTTTGAATGGCTCACCAACGAAGCGTCCGCGCTTGAAGCGGAAAAACAACTCACCAAAAAAGCGTCCCGTAAAAACGCCACCGAATGGCGCTAGTCCCTTATTAGGTTGCAATCCTTTGAAACTAAATATATATTATAAAAAGCGAGGTTCTGGGATGCCAATATGATTTTCGGAAAGCTTGCAAACTTACACTGAGCAAGCAAGGTGCTTGTCGGGACACGTGGCCATATTTATCTAGTATTGTACTTTTACTCAAAATTTGGACTTGTGTGCTGAATTGCCAAACCCATCGATCGATTCGTTGTACTCAAGTGTGTAAACAGTTGTTATGTGGTGATTGTGTTCACACTAATATCAGTCACACACTAATTTGACTTTGTTGATGGCTTCCTGCAATCTGGTTGGCTCAATTCTTCTGCCAATGATTCTTGTGATTCTTGTGTACATGTATATTTGATTGTGCCGATTCATTCTCCACGTCGCTCCAGTTTAGAATATAAACACCACAATATGCACACAGATTGACCCACCCTGGCTATTCTTCTGTAGGCCGCCCTTGTAATCCGATCAAAACGAACCCAGGTTAAATTGTCGTGTCGACGTATACTGTACATATTGTCATTTCCCCCAAAATGTAGACTTAAGTGGGGATTCGCCAAATCTATCGATGTCGATTGTTCTTTGTACTGCGTCTCTTATGGAAAAAATAGTCCGGTAGTAATCACACTAATTGAAGTTACACGCTAATTAGATGTATGTTCATGATGGTTTCCAATACAGTTCGAAAAGAAATTATAGACGCATTTAGGGTGCGTCTATAATTTCTTTTCGGACTGTATATATTGGAGATTCGGTATGAATTTCCGGACCCCGTGAATCGAGCACCAATCTCTCCCATTGGTCAATCCGAATCTACTTGTTGCTGATTGGCTACAATCCTTTTTCGAGTTTCTACTGGAAAGGGCGAAGTGGAAATTGGCCAATCAGATGTCTCGGTTCTATTTGTGCTCGATTGAACGAACCATGCAAAATTGGGAAATTTGACAATATTTGCTTGACTACTACTGTAACAGCAATACATACACTCCTACCGATTATTCTTGTACACTAACTAGTATACATTTAATTGTGTCGATTCAATCATTCTGTCCAGTTTCGAATAAATACAATTATAATATGTACCACTAAAGCCATCCATCACTACATGACCACGTCCTATGACGAATGTCCGCCAAGTCCTCTGGGCTTCTACCATCACCACGCCAAATCGTTTACAACGTGCAATAGTACTAGCTAGTATATACTAGTAGTATGCTCATTTGGCTCTTGAAAGCCAAAAGCGAAACCCTATGTAGTATTTTTTTCTCATGACTCTGCCATGGGACTGCTGCTCGACGTGTTGGACAAAAACGCGCCGAGGGCCCCCAGGTACCCCTCGTGTCGGCAGAAGTGCGCCTTCATCTGCCCTTTGGACCAAAAATCGATCGCGTAAGCCAGCGTCCGGCACGAGATTTTGTTGTGGCGGAGGAAGTTGCCCACAAAGAAGATGCGCTTTGTGTCGTAAATGCACGCGTTCAAGTACGCAATCAGCCCAATGTTTTGCGTCGTCATGATGAGAAGCGCGCGTGCAATGTCCGCATCTGACACGTCCGACCGGCTCACAGTGATCATCTTGCCTATGTTTTGAAAGTTATATATATATATATATTATTGAAACTACTTCAAAGTATCAAGTTTGAAATCGCTGTTTAGAAATATATATATTATTAAAACTATCAAGTTGGAACGATCGCTGCCTCCAAAGAACCATGTTATATCACTTCAAAGATATTCCACGCAATGTACAAGCCAACACCATAGCTGACACAATATAGTGGCCGTACACAGATATCCTTTCACGTATATCTAGGTGAGGAATATATATATATATTATTGAAAGTATTAAGTTTGAACTACATCGCTTCGAAAAGTAAAAAATAATAAATCTGGGCTGAAATATTTATCATACTCCGGGGTATTGCTAATGATCCTTCAAACCATGGTACACCATCATACTGCTATATACAACATCCACATGCCAACCCATAGTAATGACACCAATCATATACAGGACTTCATCCCATTCATATAACATGTCAGTGAGCCACGTGTATACTGTACACATACTATACAGTCCACGATACCCTTTTGATTATATATATAATACTATAAATATATAATAAAATGTACCAAAACTACTAGCGACGGTGGTCGCAGGGAGGTTGAACTTTTCGTACGCGCCGCCGTAAATGTCGCCGACACTCATGTCCACGGAAGCATTGCGGCCGTTCACACACAAGTCCAGCGCTTCGTCGTAAGTTTGGCACTCAAAAAGCAAACGACAGAGGCCCCAGTACGTCCCTATTCATTGCATATACAGTAAAAATATATATTATTTCTTGCTTTTAACCAGAATAGTACCTCCGCCAATACTGCTGCCACTGACACGAGTGAAATTATCAGGACCAGTCACGTGCAGCACACTTACACCAGAGCCAATGCTGACCAACTGATAAAGTGCAAGTCGTAAATATTAGTTGCATATATACAGTATATATATATGAAGGGCGTACGATGTAGGGGAAAATATCTTCGTCTTTGTTTTCCCGCACCAAACTCACCCGCGTGGCGGACAAAGATCTAAAGTCCACGTTCTAGACAGAAACATATTAATATATATATATAAAAGGCAACTTAGAGATATACAGAAACATATAATAATAATATATATAATATATAAAGTGCAAATACGATATCAAGAAAGCAAAGATGATAGGATCTTTCACAATTATCACAAGATATATATATATATATTGTGTGGAGAACCATACCACAAACGTATAGACTTCGTACGGAAACAGATTGAGGAGAAAGTTGAGGCCCTTGACGAGGCACTTGATTTCGTCTTCTTTCCTGATCTGAATGCCAGCCAATGACTGGAACAGGTCCGCGTACTACATGCATCGTGTCGATCGAACGTACAGAGTCGTCGTGATGGCGTACCTTGTGCGCGCCGCCACCCGTACACGACAAGACGCGTAGGGACTGGTTCAATCCATGGCCCGAGACTGTCGCAATCGCTCCTTCCATCTTTCGCGTTTCGAAATGGATGAAGTGCAACGTCCCGCCCAAGGTATCGGACGTGACGCTCAGCCTTGTGTCGCGCACGCCAGAACTGCCGTAGAAATCGCGCTCCTTGACAAAGCGAGCCATCTCGTCCGCGGCAAGGACGTGGGACATGGCTCGAGGTCGACGGGTGTTCTCCTGCGTTTGCTCAAAGTACACAATCTTGGACAACGTTCCTCCTACGAAGGTCAACATGCTAAGTCCTCCCGCTACTGATGCGTCCGTGGACATGCTGACTGCGTCGCACCAATATCAATCCCAAACGAGTGCCCCAAGTCGGACCTGCCATATCCATTAGTCGAAAGAGCGTCGGCAGGGCGTGACTACTCACGTAGGCGATATCTTCTTGACATTGATCCGCCGCTTCCAGTTCAACTTGCGCACTCGCTTACGTTTCAGCGAGAATGCAACCACGGCACCGCAGAAGCAAGCGAAGATGGCAGGAATCATCGCATCCGAAGGGAGTCCCATCCACGCTGGCGCTTCTTCCAGCGATCTACTGTACGCTGGACCGCGCGATGGGCACCCACTTCCTGGAAAAGTACGTCCGTAGTACTACTAGCATTCAAGCAAAGAGTCTGCATAGTACTAAAGCGTACTTACCAGGACGAACCATATAGTCAAGATCCAATTCGTATTTAGTGTTCTTAGTACTCCTACACGGGCTACTAACCGTACTTAAACGGGCGATCCGCAGCAAAGAATTCAACTCACACTATTAATAGTATTAATAAGTACTCGTACCTTAGTATTAATACTATTAATACCTAATAAGTACAGTAGTCGTATATTCATAACGTTAGTAGTGTGTGGGTGTTGTTTAGTATGAATACTATTAGTACCCAATAACTAGTCGTATCTTCATAGTAGTGTGCGTGTTGTTCGTATTACTATATTACAGCGTGTTCTAAGATATATACTTACGCGTGGGGCTGTCGTGAGTAGTCGGCAATGGAGCTGTGCACTTTGGCGAGTTCTTTGTTGAGTCGCTCGAGTACTCGATTGGACGACTGATAAGCGTCCACCAATCGCGTTGTGGCGGGAGTAAACTTGGGCGACGGATGCAACATGGTCGTCGTTTGTTTCGAGTCATTTAGAGTTTGTACGAGGGCGTCCAGCTCGGACCGATTGAGAACCGACGGCTGCATCTGCTGCTGTTGTTGATGTTGACGATGGTGATGCTGCTGCTCACGTTTAGTGTCGGAGCGTCTCGATGACAATTTCGATTGCTTCATGTCTGCTGCAATCTACAAGAGATATTGGATATTGTTCACGGATTAGTATAATATACTAGTAAAAAGACGAAGTAGAAAAATATGACCACAATATTGTGGTGATTATTCTAAACTGGAGTGACATAGAGACTAACCAATGAATCGACACAACCAAATATAAATGTACATACAGCACAAGGATTGAGCCAATCAGATTGCAGGAAACAACCTTCATCCGCGTCGAATGAATTCGTGTATTTGATTTCAATGCGTGTGATGAACAGAATTACACTTTTTTATATACAAATATTCAGTACAAATCGACTTCGCGATCTGTCAGCACAAAAGTCCAAATGCTGGGGAAATGGACACTATTGTGGATATACGGTAGTACAAATTTCCAGACCCCGTCGAATCGAATCACGAATCATCGACGCTATTGGCTAATCCAATTTTGAGTGCATTTGATTGGCTCTTACAGAAAAAAGGACAAGTATAGTCAGCCAATCCGACCTTCAGCATGATAATATTCCATATTGATTAGACAAACCACGCAAAGTTCCGAAGTTTATACTAGCGAACTCACAATACCTGCGCCACTTTTTGACTCAAGATGCCGTTTGCGTGAAGAAGCCGTTTGCATTCCACCTCCATGGCCGTCGGCATGGCCTTCCCGCCGCACATGACGTCGTTCCAGACGACGCCGCCGTGTTTTTCTTGAAAGCGCTTTGTGTGTTCCTGCAGCTCCACCGACTTTTTGATGAGGCTGTCCAGTCGGTCCACAAGGTGGGAATCGGGCGCGGCGCTGTTCTGCGACGCCCCAAATCGTGCAACGTGTACGTCGTTCGAGGCTTGGTTGTTTGCACTCTCGAGGTCATTGAGTTTGCCTTGGAGTTGGCGGATTTTCGCCACGAGCGGCTTTTGCTCGCCCATCGCCGCCCGGATCTCGGCCTCTAGCGCGGTCTTGAGCTGTCGGGATTGCTGCACTTCGTCAAGGAGCAGGCGAATGTGTTCACCTCGTCGGTCGCACTCGCTCTTGAGCGAGTCGTGCTCTTCCTACCGACACGTGTCAACACTGGCACGCTAGATATATATATATATATATATTGTGCTTCATGGCCGAAATTTGCCCATTTTGAGGGATCTTGCAATCGCCAACAAATCGAGCAAACGAGTATGATTGGATAAAAAGAAGGAAGGTTGCATTATGATTGGCTAAAAAGAATGAATTTGGAAATGCAAATCAGAAAGGTACCTAAGTTAGTTTTATATCATATGTCGAAGGTCTGGCAATAGTTTGGCGGTTCAGTCAACGAACCGCCAGAGGAAACTTTGAGTAGAACAGTACCTTGGCTTTGATAAAGTCGGTCAGGGTGTGCTGGTATTCAGATTCCACTCGCGCAAGCTTACTCAATGCCTGGGTGTGTTGCACCTGAACCAATTCAGCTTTCCGAGTTTCGTCGCGGCATTTGCTTTGGACTTGGGCCAGCTCGCGCTCCCAATCCAGGCGCTGGGCTTGGTGGAGTTCTGATTGTCGAGCTTGGGTCGCCATCTTCTGTTGGGCATCGTCCTGCGCGACCTACAATGATTCCATTCCGTTAATTATTTACGAAGCATCTAATGTATGTACAGCAACAAATACACCCTCGGAAAATGAACTAATTTCACCTTGGACATGGATTTGATCGTGTCGTGTGCCAACAACAGGCGTTGCTGCAACGTATCCAGGCTTTGGTGGAATTTCACCGCCTGTTCGTTCCATTGCAGCTCGAGCGTTTGAACGTCGTGTTCGCATTTTCTATCCCACGTGGAAATGAAGCAAGAATAATTAATAATAAATAAAAAACACATTAATAGTGTATGTACAGATAAATACTGTATGTACAGATAAATACATACTGTATGTACAGATAAATACTGTATGTAAAAATAAATAGTGTATGTCAAATAAATAGTGTATGTACAGATAAATAGTGTATGTACAGATAAATAGTGTATGTACAGATAAATAGTGTATATACCCTTTCAGGTCGGTCATGTCTCTGAGTTGTTGGGATAGGGAACGCAACGTGGTATTTTCTTGTCCGCGCAAGGCATTCCGTTCGTTTTCCAGCGTTTCAATCTACGCAATTTTCACATGTGCCGTGATATGGACACCCTCTATCGGGATGGCTCTGTACCGTGCGATGCAACGCTTGTTGCTGGTGCTGCCACTTTGCGACGGTGTCGGCGTGAGCTGTCTCGGCACGTTCATACGTGGCCTGCAAAATCGTCAGTTTCTTGTCCGAGTCCTGCAGCAAGCCGTCGATATTGGCCTTTTCCGCTTGCATCACCACCAGCGCGTTTCTCAATTCGTGTTCGGACTCGTGGAGCTTCGAAATGTCCAGTTCCAACTAGCACACCATTGTCAGATCCTTCATTCATCTAGCTTTTCAATGTATGTACCTGTTGCACGCGATCTTCCGTGGTCAAAGCCTTGTCCGCAGACACTGCACTCTGACGCAACTGGGCCTCCAAGTTCGCGCACTTTCGTTTCCAATCCCCAACAGACATGTCGGACACCGCTACGTTCTTCTCCAGGACTTTGACCTGGGCGTTCGCGTTGGCCAGGTCGCGGCGCAGCGAGTCGTTGGTCAGCATGGCCACGTCGAGCTTGGACGTGACGTCTCGCAAGGCGGAATCCGTTTGATACGCCAAGTTCTGGTCGGCTTGTTCATGCAGGGCCGCGGAGCGCGCCACTTGTTGACGGAGCAAACTCTCCACGGCTTTGGCTCGTTCTACCTGGCCTTCCAGGTCCCGACAGCGATCCTGTGCCAGTTGCAGCTGCGCTTCGTTCCAGTCGCATCGGTTGCGCAGCGAGATGGCTTCCCCAGCGTCCTTGGTCGCGTCGATCAGTTGTTGCTGTGTTTTGTCGGTTTGGTTCTTCAGCGCGTCGTACTGTTTGGTGGAAATTTCGCCGCGTAGTTCGGCTTCGGTCAGCTGAGACGTCAGCGTTTGCACAGCCGCGTTGAGATCGCCCACAGTTCGCGTAAGGTGGATCACGGCGGCGTCTTTCTCCTTGAGCGCCGCCTCGTGTGTCCGAGTGCGATGCACCAGTTCTTCTTGGAACTGGGCTCGCTCGTCGTTGAGCTTGGCGTCAAACTCCATCGACAGCTCGTTCTTGAGCTTCTGCTTCTCCCATTGCGCGGTTTGTTGCGCATGGGCTTGCACAGCGTCAGCTTGCTGGAATACCTGGCTGCGCTCGTTCAGTTCCAAGCTCAACTGGTCGTGCGCGCGGAGCAAGTCTTCATACTTGCGATTCGCTTCGTTCAAGTGCATTCGAAGTCGCGCGACTTCGTCTTCTAAGCGGGCGACTTCCTGCTCCAAGCGTTGGGTTTCATGCACGGTTTCTTCCAGTTGACTTTGGTTCATGGACGCACTCAGACGGTTGTTTTCCTTGGCCGTCTCGAGATCGGTTCGGAGGTCTTCGATAGCATCTCGAGCACGCACAAGCAGTGCATTGCGTCGTTCAAGTTCTTGGACTTTCTCTTCGATGACCGTTCGCAGGTGCACGTTCTCCGACTCAAAGTCTTCGTCCTCGAACGCCGTGCCTAAACAGCCACCTCAGCACACGATGCCGTCGTACCCATCCTATCGCACCTTCTTTGTACTTGAGAAGCTGCTCTTCGAGGAAGTTGATCCGAAGCTTCATGTTAAACCCTTCCTTCTGCAGCCGTTCGCGCTCCATCTCACCTTCGCGGATCAACTGCAGGTCCATGCGCGGATCGGACTCCATGAATCTCGTTCTTGCTTGCGACGTTCGTCACGGCGCTCTGTACTCGTCCACGGACTGAATCAATGCTTCCGTCCACGATCCCGTCTTGCTTCGAAGCGAGGAAATATGGAATTTTTTCAAATTTCCGCCGATCCCGCCCAACGAAACGCTTCAGCCTGCAATTTACCGCCGCTGGTCGAGGTTACTAGTAGTGCTACTAAATCCTATAAAAAGCACATTCTTTTTTAAATTACGTGATTAAAATTCGGATGTAGTCTTCAAAATAGTGGACCCACAAGTATTAAAATATCGTTGGATTTCAAGTCCTTATTTTCAACGAGAGTTGGAGTACCGTAGTATGAAGCTAGTAGTATTAGACGGCTAAACTGGGGTACTATTAATAGTGGTTTCGAGTGATACTTGTCGTACTACTATACCACCTACTAGTCGTTTCGACTCTGGTTGCATCCTTCAACTTGAGCGGACATGGCGACCGCCGGTGTGCCGTCGTACCTTCGGTCCACATCAAGCAGCAAGGCGAAGAGGGAGACGAAGAATGCGAAGACCAAGGCCGCCGACTTTCCCATTCGACGGACGGCGCCATCATCGTCCAACGGAGCAACGTCGACCTCCACCGACGACACGACGTTCCGTGTGCGACCTCCCGCGGCGCCCATTTCGATTGCGATTCCTGCTCCTTCAGTCTCTCCCAAAGTGGGATCCACTGGCGGCGCAACCTCGTCTCTCTTGCTCTTGCAATCGAAACCGCCGATGGGGGAATCAAGACAAGTCAAGTTCTCCAAGCCAGATTCGTTGGAGAAAGTACAGAGGACGACTGCAACACAGAAAAGTGTCCCCAACTACATGCGCCACACCGTTAGTCGAGGGTACAAGGAAGGGGACTTGCAGCACCCTGCGGATGCAGCCAAGTCTGTCAAGCCCGCCAGAGAACCGGCCAAGAGTGGAGCAAGGGAGCCCGCGCGACTCGCGCCACCTTCGAAACGAGCTGTAAATTTTCGTCCTTTCTCACATATTTACTTACTCGTACATGACTAGGTGCCTCTTCAACGAACGTCAAGACCCAGCAGCTCCCTTGCAAGGCAACCCGCAGCTGCAAGCGCCGCCGTACGACGACGAGGTGATATCCCAGTCAAGGACGAGCAAGAGGTCAAGCGACCGGCACCCCCCTTGCCCCCCGAAAACCAAGAAAACGTCGTTCCAGAAGCCTTCTCCGATGCGTCTCAAGTCATCCCCGACGAGGGAAAAGCATCTTCCCCAGATCTTTCAGGCCAACCTGGCGGCGGTGGAGTCGACGAGTACACGCAGGACCGCCGTCCCCGCTCAACATCTCCAAACTACATGGAAGACATCCAACGCGGTGAAGACGGTCCTATGGCGGATGACCGTGTCGTGGCCGCGTTGCGAGACGAGATCAAAGCGCTGACCGCCCGACTCCACGAAAACGACATTGTGTGCCGGGAGTACCAGCAATCCCTCGACACTGCCGAACGCAACATGGAAAAGATGACCAACGCGTGTCTCCAATACAAGCAAAAGTGCGAAACGTATGCAGACTCGTCGTTGACGTTGAAGCGGCAGCACGACACGCTCGAGCAAGACCTGATCGAGTCCAAGATGCAACTGACCGATCTCAAGAACGCGGCCAGTGTTACACCCGTGTACGACGCGAGTGTGTTGGAGCTCAAGATTCAAGTCATGACGATGGAGTCTGAAAAGAGCCAGACGGAACACCAGCTCGAGCATTTGAATCGGATCTGCGGCGAGTTGCAAATCCAAATCAACACGTTCGAAACGAATGAGCTGGCGTGGCAAACAGAACGCGACAACCTTCGTCGACAAGACGCGAGTTTGCGCGAAACGGTGGAAGCGTTGCAGCAGCAACTCCATCATGCGCCGTTCAAAGCGAAGGACGAGTCCGTCCCAGCTGCCGCCGCCGCCATGTGTCAAGACATGGACACCCAAGACACTCTACGAGCCAAAATTCACGCGCTGGAACTGACGATCGAAGCGAAAACGGCGGAAATCAACCGACTTACGGAAGAACACGTTGGATTTCAAGAACAAGCGCTGGTCAAGCAACGTACCGAGATGAAGGAGCAGCTCGCGACGCAAGAAAGATTGGTGTCCACCCTCGAAACGCAACTGGCGGCGGCGGCTTTGGCCCAAGACTCGATCGCCCAGGACCACCGCATCCAGCGAGCGCGTCTGGACGAGGACATTCAACAGCTCCTGTGCGACAAGGCGTCGTTGGAGTCCCAAGCAGCCGACCACGTGGCCAAGTTGACTGCCGCCGAAGAAAAGATCTGCGAATTGACGTACCTCGTCGAGGAAAGTCAAGCGAACGACCCGAAGGACGCACGTGCTCAAGTGGAAAACCAACTCACGACGCACAACGCCATCATTGCCTCGTACGAAGCGGAAATGGCCGACATGAAGGCACAACTGTCGACGGCGTCGGCGGAGCTCGCAACGACCCGCGACATGGACGCAGCATCCAACACGAAAATCGCGCTGCTTGAAAGTGAAGGGAAGAAGCTTGAGGACACAGTACGCTCTCTACACGAAGCTCGTCATCACGACGAAGCCAGCACACGCGCCGTGGAGGCAATGGTAGTCCAATTGCAGACGGAGCTCGAAGCGGAAAAAGCCGCCTCCAGGGACCTCCGTATCGAACTCGCACAGAGTCAGAGCTTCGTGGAGTCGTTCCAGGTTCAGTTGGACGAGTTGGAGCGGCAAAAGGTCGACTCCCAATCGACATATGAAGGCAATTGCAAGCGCATTTTTCAGCTTGAAGGCGCGAACGTCGAGTTGGAAAACGCCATTCGAGAATACCAAGCTGAACGTGAACGTGTGGCCCTGGAACTGGCCAGCTCCACACAAGCCCGTGATGTTGCGGCCAAAACACTCGACGAGGAGGTCTGCCGTGGGCGGCAACAAGCGACGACGATTGACGAGCTACACGCCAAGATTGACGGCTTGGAAACGGAAGTTGCCAAACAGTCGGCGCTGGCTGCGACGTACGCCGTTGAAATGGCTCAACTGGATGCTGTGAGATCGGAAAGGAATGTACTCGTTGAAGCCGCTCAGGCGTCGGACGCCACCATTGTGTCCCTTGGTCTGGAAGTGGCAGGATTGGACTCGAAGTTGAACAAGACGATCTCTGAGTACGAACAACGACTGGGCGAGGCAGCGGCAGAACTTGACCATGTCAAGACATCCGCCTCTCAAACACTCGTGAGGGAAGTCAGTGGTTGGAAGGAAAAGTACGAGGCGCTGACACTGGCAGGTGACTACCAAGCCAACCAACTCAAATCGACTTTGCACCAACTGGAGGTTATCCAAGCGTCCGACACACAGTCAAAAGCAACACTTGAACAAGACGTGGAAGCCAAGTACTTGGCGATGCAAACCCACCAGCAACAATCGCACGACGACCAAGTAAAGCGCCTTACGAGTCAGTTGGACAACATGCGAACGAACTGCGACGACCAGATCGAGGCCCTCGAGGCGCAAGTGAACGCCCTCCGACTTCAGTTGAGTCACGCGCGAGGCCACAAGGAAACGTGTGGTCTTATGGAGCAGGACTTGGCGCATCAAATCTTGCTGGTCGAGTCCCACACACACCAATTACTCAACGCACAAAAGCGTGTGGCCGACTTGACCTGCCAAAACCTCCAGCTCAAGGAGGATATCGAAGCAGGGTCGATGAAGCTATCGAGTCGCGAGGCCACGGTGCTGGAATTGCAACAACAAGACAGCATCAGCCGAGACAAAATTCAACACTTGGAAGCCAAACTCAAGGCCTTTGTGGACAGCCATGAACGAGTCCCCACGCCAGGTACGCCGTTGAAAGATCAGAGTCTGTCGACCAGTGCAGTAGTAGTAGATGTAGTCGTCGTCCCTACGACGATGCCAGTCCAAAGTGTCGAAAGCGAAGCCGAGTTCCCACCACTTATGACCAACGGCGTGATCGTACTACACGCCGACGAAACCGACATGTACGCCGGAGTCGTGAATGCCAAGTCTCAACGACCCACTGCCATCATTCCTGTACGTGCATATATATTTATATATATATGCCGATTATCGATGCATTGAATTATTTATTTTGCCTTTTTGCTGTATGTAGTCCCTAGCGGCTGTTCCACGAGGCGGCATGACCGAACTGCAACGTGTTTTGCAAGGCTCTTCGTACTCTGGATCGGGCTCGCTTCGAATAGGCTACGATGTAAGTTTTCATATTCGCTCGAATTGTTATAGTTTGGTCAGTAAGATTTACACGATACCTTACCAAACGAATTATAGTGGTTGATCCGTAATTACATGGTTTTGTGTAGCATGGGTATTTCCTGGGCAAGGACGCTGCAAATGTGCTGTACGACCACCCGGACCCCGCGCTTCGAGGGATCCTCACGGAGGAGCGACTGTTCCAAGACGGGGCAATTGCATCGTTTGAGCACTTTGAAGGGCTGTTGAAGCAAATGCTCGCTGCTGTCGGCGCCGATACCAACCCCGACACGTACAAGGTACTAGTAGTAGTATTACTAGAACTATACATTGATAAACTAACGATAATATGATTCATTAGATTGTCATGACGCACAAACCGTTGATCGGGAAAGCACATCGTGAAAAGATGGTACAATCGCTGTTCGAGGCGGGCCAATTCCAAAGCGTGTTTCTCACCACGGACGCCCAAATGAGTCTTCGCGCAGTGGCCAAGTCCACGGGGCTGGTCGTGGATGTCGGAGCAGATACCACGTACATTGTCCCCATCTACGAAGACATGCTGGTATGATATGCTATATATATATATAGTTTATTTTGTATGTCTTTGCTTGCATCATATTATTCACAAACATGTGATTAATTTATTTTGGTGTAGCTGGAGCATGCAGTGGTGAAATTGCCGTTTGGCCAGGACCACGTGGTGAATTTCATGGTGTCGATGCTGCTGTCACAAGACTGCGACGACTTTCACATGATTCCAGCACGGGTGCAGCGGCGAATCGCTCGGTCGATTTTGGTACGATATGCTACTACTAGTACTACTACTAGGTACTATATGATGGCTCATATTGCATACGTGTAGGACTCACATGGGTTGGTGGCAAGTGACTTTTTCGACATGACCGAACAGTACGGCGGTTTCCGTCGAAAAGACGTGCACGTGCTGCCAACGCCAGACCATCCACTGGTATGGGTCAAGGAATCGCCCAGTCAAACAACTCACCCGTTCGTATTGTGTAGTATGTTTGTATTTTCTTTTTTCAATATATATTTATATATATATATCATTATAGCTTGCGCGCGTCGTACGCACAACAATTGCCCAGTGGACGTACATTGACGCTCGAGTATGACATTGAACGTTTTGTGTGTCCGGAATTGCTGTGGAACCCATCGCTCGACCCAGGTAGACACACTAACATAAACAAATACCCGAGTCATTGGACCATGCATCCCCATGCAGATTGCGCATGCAAGACAAGCCTCCACGCTGCGATTTTGAAGTCCCTGTCTCTATGCGACCCATTCCTGCAAGAAGATTTGATTGCGCGCGTGGTGTGCTGCGGTGTGCTCACTTCGCTACCTGGATTCAAGGAGCGACTGTACCGTGAAGTGCAGAAATCCACGCCCCAGCACGTGGTCGGCGTGGAAATCTTGCCCAAGTCTCTCCATGCAGCGTTTACGGGGGCGACCATGTATGCCCAGGGCCTGCGCGAGTCTGTGTGGATCAGTCGCGACGACTACGACCGCCACGGACCAGCCATCGTCCATTCCAAGTGTTTCTGAGGATCAACAGCAACACACGATCGTGACAATCTCTAGCATCACCACAACTAGAATAGTATTACTATTAGTCCATGCAGTGTTATTTGCGTTTTTCGTCGCTGGCTTTTTCCTTCCACTTGGTGATGAGGTCGTGGGCCGTCGTCGCGACCGTTGTGTTTCTATCGAGTTTTCACGTTCGTTGGTTGTTGATTCAATATATATGTGTGTACTTGGATTTTCGCAATTTGGACACGACCTGCCCAATTTGCGAATCGACCAGTTGCTGGGTACTCAATTGCATGGCATCGAGCGCGTGCAACGTGGCGACGTGCGCTTCGTGGTCGGTCGCATGCTTTTCCAACTCGCGTCGAATGGCGTCCACCTTGGACATGGGCTCGGTAAAGTATTTTTTCCACTGATAGCGCAGGTCTTTGGCTGCCGACGCCACCCTGTCGTTGCTACAACACAAAAGCAACCGCCGTTGGATTTATATCGTGTTTATTCTAAATTGGAGCGACATGGAAAGGCTAATGAATCGACGCAACCCAATATTGTCGATTAGTTGATACAAATTTGGGGACAATCGAATCTCGCCGACCAAACCGATCCACAATCGATCTGATTGGTTGTTGAATTTCATTGAGAAGGTTTTGATTCGCTAATAATTTTGAGCTCATCTGAGGTAGCCAATCAAATCGATTTAAATTCCAACGAGAAACCACAATACGAAATTTCACTCGAAAGCACAATACTGTATGGACACAAGAATCATCGGCAGAAGGATATTTAGCCAATCAGAATATTGCAGGAAACCATGATGAACGTCAAATTAGTGTGTGATTTCAATTAGTGTAATCATACCAATCACCACAAAACACCATTTTACATACACGAAAGAATCGATCGATCGATAGATTTGGCGATTCAGCACAAAAGTCAACCAAATTTTGGGTAAAAAGACAATATCGACCTCCAAAGCCGTTTCCCAGCACGTTGGTTGCAAACAACTAGGTCGAAATTCTGCAAACAATTGCATCCAATCCATCCACAAGAACCGCAGTAATACAGTCCACATGTCCCACATGCAAAACCAAAAGGGAAACGATAGATATCATCATATATATCATCACGACCAATAGTTATACAAATGTCGTTAAGACAGATACGTACGTGTGGTGCCGTAGCTGCGTCACCGTCACGATAATCTTGGTCTTCTTTAACAAGTCCAACGCAATGGGTTCCTACAATATATATATATAATTGCATGAATATATAATGTATTGTATGTATACCTTGGACAGCGCAGCCAACGACTCCAACATGACGTCAATCGGCGTCCCTTCGATTTCAAGTGTGGTTTTCAACGCCTCAATCTCATCCAAACCCAGCAGCGACGACGTGCTGGGCAGCTGCAGCTTCCACGTGGCAACCAGCGACTTGGCAAGTTCTGAAATCCGCGAATCCCTGCGCTCGACAAAATAAACTATTTTCAATATATATATATTATTAGGTTGTTTCATAACAACACGTACTTGTGTGTCGTCCAGTCAATCACGCGCGCTGAAATGGATGCAATTTGATCCTCATTCAGTTGACTAGCGATCTACCATATATAATTTTTATTAAAAAATATTAATATTGTTTGTTCAGTCAAATTTGACACTTTTGGGGGCTTGTTGAAATTGTCCCCAAATCGACGAAACAGTATGATTGGTTAAAAAGAATATAGATTGCAATATGATTGGCAGATAACATGGAAAGTTGTTAATGCAGTCCCCAACAGACCTCTAACACTTCATTGTATATTCGATTTCGCAGGTCAGGTGATTGTCGGCGGTTTCCTTCAGCCACCGAGCAGCATCAAATCGAAGGCAGACAATCGATATACGACCAATCAAAACCCAGAACGATAAACAAGTGGCCAATCAAATTATCCATTCTTCGACCAATTTGACATCGAATTAGTGTGTGGCTGAAATTAGTGTGATACTAGACGATCCTTCCATACAAACGTCAGGACAAACAATCGATCGATGTATGAGTTGGCAAAGAATCCGCACAAAAAGTCGAACAATTTTTTGGGTTAAAGTTAATATATGAAAACAACCAAATAACAACCCCAACAACCCTCACAAGTCAATATATGTCGACACGTGGTATTACCGTGACTAGCGTTTCGACGTGTTGGTGTAGATCGTCCAGTCCAGAGGCGTTTTGAATTCCTCTCAACACGTCAGAGGGCTCTGGAAGCAAACCAGGCTCTTCCTTGGACTCTTTTTTATCGGCGGCGGCGGCGGCGGTTCCTGCTGGTATCTCCATGCCGGCAATGATGCGATGGACAACCTCTTTGATCGTGTCCTTGTGGTCCTTCAAGTCCATTTGCAGCGTCTCGGTCAAGTGCTTTCGGATCTTGCGCGTCGTGAGCAGCTCCATGTCGCCAGTGAGCAGAATCTGCCGGATTTCGTGCTCGATGCGCACTTTGAGCGCGTCGTCGGCGCCGCCTCGGACATCACTCAATGGGGCGGACGTGTCTACCTCAGACACTTTGGGCGGTTTCGGAGGTTTTTCGTCTTTTGAAGACTTTTTTTTGCGTTTTTTGGCCTTGTCGTCGCTTGATTTGGACGCTTTGCGCTTGGACGAGGGTTTTTTTTTCTTGCTTTTTTTGGCTTCTTTGCTGTCTTTTTTCTTGGCTTTGAGGGGCTTTTCGTCGTCGTCGTCGTCGTCCCCACCATCCGCGGCAGCAACGTCCACATCATCCTTCTCCACGTCGCCATCGTCGTCGTCGTCGTCATCTGCCGCTTCGTCTTCCGAGTCGTCGTCCGGCGGTGGAGTTGGCATGGACGGGTTCATGTCGGAAGGCACCATGTTCGGAAGCAAACGCATGTTCTCGTCTTGAGAGAGAAAGTCCTACATGGAAACGAACGACATTCAGGTTGCAGCGGAAAGGACAGCACAGGCACTACCTCCGCCTCCTGGATGGCAATCTGCAGGCGTTCGATCGTTGTGCTAGGTGCTTGCTTTTTGCTGCCGGTAAACGGCCCCTTCGGATGCCCTTCGACAAGGCTGGCATGCTCCTCTCCGTTCCAAGCCTTCATTGTACCCTTCCTCATGAGAGAGCTACGCTCTTCCGTCGTGAGAATGCATCCATATGATCGAAGGTGGGAAACCAAGGACGTACAAGGAGGGTTCTCCAAACCAATACACGACGCGGTAGTCGTTTGGAAAGTTCTTCGCCTTCTTCAGCACGGTCGCATGCTCGCCACCTACACACACGCACATTGATGTTCAATGTCACTTCCCTTGACTCTTCAACGTACCCATCCTGTGCAGCTTCGGCCGCAACTTGTTCGGGTCGCACACATACATGGGCCACCACGGACTCCCAGTGATGATCCCCCATCCCACCGTATCGTACTCGGGCAGGCTCATCTCAATCAATGCCACAAATACAGTGAAGTGAATAATATCCGGATAACGGTATCCAGCAATTTCAAATAGAAAAAACTGCAGTTTTTTTTACTGTAAACGACTTCTATTATTAATAATACTACTATTATTATTGATGATACTAATATTGATAAATAATACCACTGTTGAGAGTACTACTGTGCGTATTGTGCATTTTCACCCAAATTGGCCGATTTTCGGACGTGCAAAGCAATGTGAATGAAGGTTGCCTTATACTTATAAGATATTTAGCAGGTCTGGCGATTACTACGTAGTAGTACTTGTACATTGCGCAAGTGCGTTCAACCAACCGCGTAGGACATTTTGAGTAAAACGCACAACACACGGTTCAGCATCCAAAACCATCAATAATGTCGTTAACCCTTAACAGTTACTAGTACTTCCACTAGTACTTGTACTAGTAGATACTACTACGGCCCAGAGGAGGACGATGGAGTATACCCAGACACACTGCCGCTTTTAAATGACCGCACAACCACATGGTCGAATCCTACCAGCAGCCCGTGAGTACTAGTAGTACCTACTATCCACAAACAACCCAAGTCTCTGCAAATTGTCTCCACGTGGTGGATTTGAGTTGGCAGCAACGCTCGCTCCTTCTCCGCGTCCAGTTCTACAACACACACGGCCTCATCGTCAACATGTCTTAATTTATTAAAACCATGGAAATATTTATATATTTATATATATATGTATTCTTGTGGATTCGGTACGAATTTCCTGGCCTCGTCGAATCGAGATCACGGGGCCGAATCGAATCACGAATCATCGACGCTATTGGCTAATCGAATTTTCAGTGGATTTGATTGGCTCTTACAGAAAAAAGGACAAGTATATTCAACCAATCAGAACTCCAGCGTGATGATTCAATTTACAAACCGTTATGGAAGTTTACAGCGAATTCATAATATAACTATATATTTTTTTCCATCATATCGAACGTACCCACGGCGGCGCGGTTGTTGGCCAAGAACCGCACGCGTAGGTTGTCTGTACGAGCCAAAGCCAACGAAGATCGGACCTCGCCTTCGGCTTTTTCAATGCGTGCTAAATGGTCCTAATAGAATTCATATATATATATAATATATATCCATGATTCAAACAAATATTCTATTTACAGGATTCGCGGATACGCCAAAGGCCAACCGAGAACGCAAGCATGGCGACGCCGCGTAGTTCCAATTGGGAAGTCCAAGGTCTTTTGAAATCTAAACAATGAAGAACAAACACTATTTACATGGTCATGGAGAAGGACCCAAACCTGGCGCACACTGGCCTTGGAGAGATGTTCTAATGGACTCACGACTTGGAATTCCGTGGCGGCTACAAGTCCTATGCAAAACATGATAAACAGTACAAGGGTACTACTACTACTGTATATATGTACATTTGTACCTAGCCTCGTTGGATCGAGCTTGTCGTCGGCGTTGGTGCCGTTGAACATCACGGGAATCACTCCTGGGCTTGAGCTACAACTATGTCCAACTATGAGACAATACACGAAATATATAGCTGTGGCGTATATATATATATATATATACCCTTGAGCTTTTACATGGGCGGCCACTTGGTTCAACGTAGTGTACAGGTTGGTTTTGCAGTAATAGCAACTAGACGAAATATATTGGTCGGTGGCGTGTGTTCTTGAAGGAAACATACCTTTGGCCTTTGTTTTCGACGTAGCGGGGATCATTGCCTTCGCTTGTACGTGCCTCCCATAACGGAATCCCGATGGCCGACGCGACATTGCGCGCCAACAGCAACTGATCTTGCGGCAATGCAGCCGACACACCTAGGCATGCAATGCTGTTCTCGGGAAAGACGCGGTGGACCAATGCGGCCACTAGGGACGAGTCCACACCGCCAGAGTACGCCACGATGTTTACATGTTTGGATGACCCTGCCTGGCGCACCCGCGCGAGCAGCTGGTCCAGCATAGTTTGGGATCTTTTTGCTCAAAATGCAGAATCATCCGGATGTTCGGATACATACGTGGGAGTACTAATAGTAGTACTTGCTTAATTTAGTATTACTAGGTCCTGTAGTTTGATTGCCAGAGGTTGCAACAGTTTTTTGTGGAGAGGGCAGAGGCGTTGTGATGGACGAGGAAGAGTTCGCGCATTATGCAGAGGTCCTGCTGTCGATGAAGGAATACGAAGGGTTCGTGTGGCGTGAAGGATTTCGGAAGAAGCAGCACTTGAAGCGCCTAAACGAGAAGCATGCGCGGCGTCTCCCGGCGTTCACGGTCAAGGACAGCATTCCTGCCATGCTGGTGGGAACAACATCAAGCACGTATAGATTGCTGATCTGTGACACTTGTAGCGATATGCGAAGACGAACCAAGAGTTCTGGGACCAAGTGTGCGCGATGCAGGCGAACTTTGGGCCGGAAGTGGACCTGCCGAGCCACATCAACCTCAAGCAGCCGATGAAGACCCCGTACCGCCATTACTCGAAGCTCAAAAGCACACTGCATCAACTCGTGCGCGACTGGGCAGTCGAGGTCGGCATGTCCATCACGATGTCCTTCTAACGCGGCATAGGGCGCGGAAGAGCGAGAGCGATGCTACCAACCCATCGTAGACGAGTTGAAGCGTGTGTTGCCTGTGGGTCCTGACAACCGGTAGGTACACTGCAAAAACCCATCTATCTGGTACCAATTCCCTCGATATAGGAACCAGCAAAAAGTGCTTGTACCGGGAGCAGGGTTGGGCCGGTTGGCGCTGGAGATTGTGTCGGCAGGATACGCCACCCAAGGCAACGAGTTTTCGTACCAAATGCTCTTTACGAGTAATTTTATCCTCAACTGGTACTATATCCTCTATATATATATATATATTTGAATACTTTATAATATATTATTTCAACATGTAGTGCCCGGCAACCTGATGCATATACCGTCCACCCTTGGATTGATAATCCGTCAAATGTCATGTCTTTTGATGACTTTGGACGCGCTGTATCCATTCCTGATGTTTCCCCCGACTCTCTTCTTGCCTTGACATCGTCGTCGTCTCCTGGAGGTAAATGTGGGCCAATATATATATATATATAGTATTAATATATATACATTATTATTATTAATATACATTATTATTATTAATATATATTATTAATATATATACATTATTAATATATACATTATTAATATATATATACATTATTAATATATATATACATTATTAATATATATTTATACATTATTAATATATATATATATATATATATATATATTATTAATATATATACATTATTAATATATATATACCCCTAATGCCCTCTATGTTGGGTGTGGATATAGGAGCAGAACCAAACTTCTCCATGTGCGCTGGTGAATTCCTCGAAGTCTATGCCGATGAACGAGGTACTGTACATCCAATCACCAATATATATATATATATATATATAATTCAAAACGATATTGTTGTAAGTAATAATTTATATATTTATTCTATATCAACATAGAAACTTGGGATTGCATTGTCACGTGCTTCTTCATTGACGCCGCGCCCAACGTCATCGAGTTCATTGAAGCGTTTGAGCGGTTGTTAAAGCCAGGTAAAACACTAGATTTCGCCAATATTACTCATCTCTCCAATATATATATATATATTTCAAATGAATCCTATTTATAGGTGGAGTATGGATCAACTTGGGGCCATTACTGTACCATTGGCAAAATGGCAGCGGCGCCGACGACGACCGATACGATCAGTCGATCGAGCTCTCGTACGAAGAAATCAAGCATGTGGCCGAGGGGTATAACTTTAAGTTTACGGTACAGTGTATAGTGTACATAGTAACGTGTATCGTCTAAACGATGGTGTGGAGTAGAGGGAAGAACGAAAGGAGTGCCTGTACACGTGCAACCCGACGTCGATGCTTCGGTCGGTGTACAACTGCATCATGTTTACAGCGATCAAAGGCACGCCGTTGGAACCGTGCAGCCCATCGACGAAGGCGCCATCGTCGAAGAAGTAGTAGTTGGACGATGCCGCTAGAGAATGAAAAATGGATCGTTGAGAATAAAGTTAGGCATTGCGCGTGATGGAAAACGAGTTTGCAAACGGATTCCATCCACATGGTGGGTCATCGTGCGGGTGAGGCGAGTCTTGAAGGAAGAATTGAGACGATAGTCGCGTAATGTTGGCTCGGTGTGGGGTTGGCGGCTGCGGGGACTTGACCTGTGTCGATGCCGTCACGTGTTCTTCCAAGTCGGCGTCGATCAGCGCGTTGAAGTCCAGGATACTTTGATGGAATGATGGAATCACAGCGTCCGCTGACCGATCACGCAACGAGCGCATGGGAAGGGGGGAAGTACTAGGAGATCCTCGAAGTTGTCGGAGCTTTCGCAAGGCAGGCCGCAACGTCTGAGACGGCTTTAGCATGACTTTCGTTCCCTCCCCTGGTGATCTGCGCTCAGCTGCCAGTCCCCCTACCAGCCACTTGTTGCTGCCTGGGGAGTCAGCATGTCCATCTACGCTCGTTGTCGATTCGCCCGCGAATGCCATCGCTTCTCACCTTGTTCAAATTCAAAACTGCCGAAAGATCGAAAGCGTTTCGAAATTTGATATCTTCCGATTCTACATATGATTGGCTATAATAACTTGAAGAATACTGTCCCATTGGCTAATGTAATAAATTCTACTCGCATTTCATTCGCTATATAAAGATTAATATTAGCCAATAGAAGACCCCGATGGAATGACCAGCATTCAGACGCTGTATTTTAATTCACGCAACGACGGCATACAAATACCTATACAAAACTGCAACGATTTTCAAATTCTCGTCAGTCGTGTCTTGATGTTTGTATACCCTTACACGGCAAGAGCGTATTTATTTTCGTCCCTTTTCATTAGCGAAACTGGGCGGGAACACATCACGCCGCCATGTTCTATTCCCAGCTCATCCTGGCAAAGAAGGGCCCTCTTGGGCAAGTATGGCTTGCTGCGCATTGGGACAAGAAGTTGACGAAGGCCACCATCACGGCAGCCGATGTGGGTCAAGCCGCTGATTCCATTGCGAACCCAGTCGTGCCACTCGCGCTGCGAGTGTCGGGACATCTCTTGCTCGGGGTCACCCGCATCTACAGCCGCAAGGTGAACTACCTCTTCACGGACTGCAGTGAAGCATTGGTCAAGATCAAGATGGCATTCCGGCCCGGTGTCGTGGACTTGCCGGAACAACAGGTCACGGCCAACCCGAGCTCGATCAATGTGTCGTCGTTCGGCGAGTTCGACGCGCACATTCCCTACGACATCCAGTACGTCCTCTCTATTACGTGAGTTGATTGAACTCATGCATGTGTGTGCACAGTGCTTTGGTCGCTCCTTCCTTGACGGAATGGATGACGACTCCGTCCCAGACCCAGGCGCGGCGGCAGGACATTACGTTGGCCGACACAAGCGACCGACATCAAGACGACTCACTCGGTGGAAAAGGTAGTGCATCCATGTCCATCCCAACCTAGTCTCCGTCTTGACTTGCATGTAGATTCGTTTGAGGATTCGTTTGGCGGCGGCGACTGGCAAGCGTTTGACATTGACACTAACCAGGAAGTACTGTCTCCTTCCTTCACATCCCCCCCACCTGTCTGTCGACTAATCTCACATGCATGTCAGTTGGACTCCAGCACCATCAGCGACATTGAACGTGCTCGTGATGGCGACGCCTCGAGCCTTGTTGCGGTCCCGAAAGACGCGAGCTTACTCCTCGACAACTCAGACGCCGAGCTCAACAAGCCCGCAGACAACACAATGGACGACGTCGACATGTTCCAAACCGACAAGGACGACGACATCGACATGATGCAGGTGGAAGTGCCCGACATCGACATGAACCCAGAGGACCCGTATGCCGACCACGGACTCGACATGGCGCCGCCACTGTCGCCACCGCCGCGCCCTGAAGACAATGCGTCGTCTCAGACCATCGACTTTGCCATTGAAGAACAAGACAAGAGCAGCTTGGAACCTCAAACGCCGTCGCAGAAAAAGTTGCGCAAGCGCAAGATCGGCCGCGATTCCATGACTGAGCTCTCGTCGGCGTCGATCAAAAAGGTAAGAGTGTGTGTCGTTCGGGTGTTGTACCCCTGAGAATGTTGGACGTTTTGACTTCAAGACGTTCTTTTTATGCGAGAATGCATGTCTTTTTACTTCTAGTACCGGCCTTCCCATAGTTCTTTTATACCCAAACGTTGGTCTTTTTCGTAGCCATCTCGTTCTTTTACGCATGAATGTATTATGTCTTCTACTCCAAGTATTGGACCTTTTGACCTTTGAAATTTCATATGAAACTAATAAGTGTAAGAGGTATCTTGTTTTGTGTGACTGATATACATCATTCTTTTGAGCCAATCATATTACAACCTCTCCATTCATTGTAGCCAATCATACTCGTTTGCTGGAGTAGTTATCCAATATAAAGAGGCATTTCATTTGACGATATTACATGTTTGTAGGGGTTAAAAGACGTGTCGGACATTGTGCGCGTTCGCGGCAATAATACTTCGTCCAAGCGTATCAAAGTCCACAATGAGGAGGAGGACCCGATGCCGCGGCTGAGTGCGCCGTCGACGTCGGCGTCGATGTCGTCGACGTTGCTCGGCCTGTTTCGGGTATCCATGATGGCCCAGCCCACGACGTTGCTATCTTCTTGTACTTGTACTGATCAAGGTGCTGGGAAACAAACTCAAGATGACCAACAACCCGTGGAGCGCATGCGCCGGCAGAGTGTGCAAGGAGTGGTGTCGTATGCTGAAGAAGGAGGCGACGAAGACGATATCGTGGATGGACGTGGCCTAAAGTCTGTCATTGGTGGTGGTGATGATATGGACAAAGTTGCCGAGTTTGAGTTTGGCGGCGGCCTCGAACCTCTCCACCACGCCGACCACGGAGTCGATATGCAGGACGAAGAAGAAGAAAAGGAAGACGAGCACGACATTCATTTGGATTTGGACTTGACGCTGGCCCCTGTAAACGACATACTCGCCAACAACGAAGACGACCATCATTCTGGCGCGACCCCCAACGACCATCACAAGTGGCACCCCCACACGATCAAGGTGCTTAAAGTGTTGCGGCAGTCGCTTGAAGACAAGGTAATAATTATTTGTATTTGTTTGTATCTATCTATCAATATATATATATAAATATATATTAAATCTATTTATATATGTGTGTATTATTTTAATAATACAAAATGTATATAAATTTGAAAACTATGTGGAGGGTCAAACCCACGTATGTATTTATATATTAAATATATTTATATAAATGTATTATTTTAATAATTCAAAATGTATATAAATTTGAAAACTATTTGGAGGGTCGAACCCAACGTATGTAGCACCAGTACTATTTTTTTTATGTTTTATTTGAATAGATATTATGTATTGGATGGTGTATATTTACATGGTTTGTATATATATGCACACTATTATAGGACACGGTGTCGTACCGCGCTTTGGCCAAGACGACGCGAAGTCGGCGGACGGCGGCGGCGCTGTTTTTTGAAATGCTGCAGCTCAAGACGTTGGATTTGATCGAAGTGGCGCAGCCCAACGCGTACGGAAACATTCACATTTCAAAGGCGCCGCGGTTCATGGAGCATATCCCGGCCGTGGACGGCGAGTAGTACTGTACTAGTATATGGAAGAAGTACTAGTGTCGGAAGCTATAATAAATACTATACGTTTGCAAACAACCCAGCAGTTGGAATTTGTGATCGACACGAGAAATGGTTGGTATTGTGTGTTCTCTCGCCCACAAATCATCGACGATATAAGTACAGGCTTGGCGAAACAGAATATAGGTTGAATAATTACGATTGGCTAAGACCGAGTTTGGAACACTACGTTCAACGTAGTACAACTTGCGTACTGCTACATACATAATGCTATCGATGCCATTACCATTCAAGAAGTGCCCCCAACTGTCATTTCCAAAGTCCATTCATTTCAAGATGTTTAATTGTTCTGCTTCGTGGGGCGTCGTGTCCATGTGGACTTTGCTACAACTGAACCCCAGGGGGACCTTAAAGACAAGATCAACGACGCAAAATTGTATGACTTTCCCGTCGAGACGCCGAAAGATAACCATTTTGAAAGGGTTTTACGATTGGCAAACTTACTGTTAGCCAATGAAGCAACATTATGATATAGTTTAAAATGGTAACTTATTATGAATTCGCTATAAACTACCAAAATTCGCCAAATCAATATTGAATCATGATGGAGTTCTGATTGGTTGATCTTGTCCTTTCTGTAAGAGCCAATCAAATCCACACACAATTGGATTAGCGATTCGTGATTCGATTCGGTGGCGAGATTCAATTCGATGGGGTCTGGATATTGTACCGAATCCACAATAGTTGCACGTATATTAATACTAGTAGTTGCCCGATATGACTGGAAGTATATGTGTTAACGTTTATAGTACAGCATTCTTTTTTTTGCTCAGTGCTGTCCTCCAGTTGCATGAACAAACAACGTCAAGAAGGCCAAGCCGCATGGAGTGCATTGAGCGTGCCAGAGATCTTGGCATCAATCATTTCGTATCAACGCGGCATCTTCCACGACATGGTACCTTTCTTCGCTTTCGAAGTTCCTGTGAAGCATTCGGATACATGTTGGAGACGTTACGATACAAACGAGGATACCGCCATGACAGCGTTGGCAGCAGCGTTGGGTCCGTGGCTGAACGCTTGGGGGTTGTCCCGACTGCCGAAACTGTTTGCATGTTTGCCGCACATGCAACGGGTTGTGATGTTGGTGGCTATTTGGAACAATCGACTTGACGTCGTCCAGTACCTGCACAAGACAGTTGGCCTCGAGTGGTTCCAAGGTGACAAGCTGTTGGACGTAGCCGCCCGCTGTAACCACTTGGGGATGGTGCTATACCTGCATGAACATGGATGTGGTGGATGCACCGCCGATGCCATGGACGCCGCAGCTGGCAACGGCAACTTGGCGATCGTCCGGTACTTGCACCAACACCGTGGGGAAGGCGGGACGAAGCACGGGTGTTTTGAATCAGCGAAGAATGGCCATTTGGACGTGCTAACGTATCTCAATCAACATGTCACAGCCATCGACCACAACGACGAGGGGTGGATTAATGTGTTTGACGAGGTGGCAACGAATGGACATTTGGAAACTGTGCAATACCTGCATCCGTACGTCGAGAAATGCACCTCAAGTGCCATGGACGATGCAGCGAAGAATGGTCATTTGGATGTTGTCCAATGGCTTCATGTCAACCGCCACGAAGGATGCTCCTACGAAGCCATGTACAACGCCGGGAAGCACGGACATTTAGAAACGGTGAAGTTCTTACATCAACGTCTAACCGAAGGGTGTCGCTGGCGTCAGGCTTGGACAAAACCCTCTCCTTGGTTTTGCGAAGCACTCATTGAGTCTTGGATAAAACCCACTCCCTGGCTTTACGA